TTCAATCTGGTCCTCTGGACATTCAAAAAAACAAAAAACAAAACAAAGCAAAAAAAAAAAAAATGTAGAAACGTTTCGTCTCTCATCCGAGAGACTTCCTCAGTCTGAGCTGCTGTTTTCAGCTCAGTCTCTTAAATAGCACCGTCTCAGAGTGGATCAACCAGTTTGCTGCTGACAACCAAAACCAGCTGATCACATGCTCAAGAAGGACCATCAGCCTAACAAAGGATCATTAGCACACTGATGGCTGTTTACTATTCAAAGGGGGTCGAGTGATACCAGCAATCACAGCATTGTAAGAGGGGGACAGTTGAACCCGGAGGCCTCCACCCCTGTTTAATGATGGATGGTTTCTTTTCACAAAGATGGCCTCCTTTACTCCTCTCTCAAACCATCGTTCCTCTCTGTCCAGGATGTGAACATCTTCATCCTTGAAAGAGTGACCGCTGGCCTGGAGATGAGTGTAGACCGCAGAATCCTGGCCTGATGATGTTGATCTTCTGTGCTGGGCCATCCTTTTGGCCAGTGGCTGTTTTGTTTCCCCGATGTAAGACTGATCACAGCCCTCCTGACACTGAACAGCATAAACAACATTGCTCTGTTTGTGCCGGGGGACTGGATCTTTGGGATGAACCAGTCTTTGCCGTAATGTATTTTGGGGTTTAAAAGCCACTGGGACGTTATGGTTAGAAAATAAACGTCTCAGTTTCTCTGATACTCTGATAAGGAGGCCATCTTTGTGAAAAGAAACCCTCCATCATTAAACAGGGGTGGAGGCCTCCGGGTTCAATTGTCCCCCTCTTACAATGCTGTGATTGCTGGTATCACTCAACCCCCTTTGAATAGTAAACAGCCATCAGTGTGCTAATGATCCATTGTTAGGCTGATGGTCCTTCTTGAGCATGTGATCAGTTGGTTTTGGTTGTCAGCAGCAAAACTGGCTGATCCACTCTGAGAAGGTGCTATTTAAGAGACTGAGCTGAAAACAGCAGCTCAGACTGAGGAAGTCTCTTGGATGAGAGACAAAACGTTTCTACATTTTTTTTTTTTTTTTGCTTTGTTTTGTTTTTTGTTTTTTTGAATGTCCAGAGGACCAGATTGAACTTTCTTGGATAAATACATCAAGTTCACACGAGAAGATGTAAAAAATGACAGGTTGGCTTTCTTGGACTGTGAGGTCTCAGTCTCTGATAGAGGACATTTGCAAACTGGGGTGTACAACAAACCCACCCACACAGACCAGTATTTGCAGTTTGACTCCCATCACCCTTTGGAGCACAAGTTAGGAGTCATCAGGACTCTGTATCACAGAGCAGACAGCATCCCCACTAGCTCAGGAGCCAGGCAGAAGGAGAAATCCCACAAAAGACAGGTTCTAGAGCAATGTGGATATCCTAACTGGGCCTTCCTGAAAGCAGAGAAGTAACCCAAACAGGACTCCAGTCAGCCATCAGGTGAAAAGGAGGAACCCAGACCAGTGGTCATTCCGTATGTTGAGGGAGTATCAGAGAAAGTGAGATGTATATTTTCTAAACATAACGTCCCAGTGGCTTTTAAACCCCAAAATACATTACGGCAAAGACTGATTCATCCCAAAGATCCAGTCCCCCGGCACAAACAGAGCAATGTTGTGTATGCTGTTCAGTGTCAGGAGGGCTGTTATCAGTCTTACATCGGGGAAACAAAACAGCCACTGGCCAAAAGGATGGCCCAGCACAGAAGATCAACATCATCAGGCCAGGACTCTGCGGTCTACACTCATCTCCAGGCCAGCGGTCACTCTTTCAGGGATGAAGATGTGCACATCCTGGACAGAGAGGAACGATGGTTTGAGAGAGGAGTAAAGGAGGCCATCTTTGTGAAAAGAAACCGTCCATCGTTAAACACGGGTGGAGGCCTACGTGTTCAATTGTCCCCCTCTTACAATGCTGTGATTGCTAGTATCACTCAGCCCTCTGTGAATAGTAAACAGCCATCAGTGTGCTAATGATCCATTGTTAGGCTGATGGTCCTTCTTGGGCATGTGATCAGCTGGTTTTGGTTGTCAGCAGCAAAACTGGTTGATCCACTCTGAGAAGGTGCTATTTAAGAGACTGAGCTGAATACAGCACCTCAGACTGAGGAAGTCTCTCGGATGAGAGACGAAACGTTCCTACATTTTTTTTTTTGTTGTTTTGCATTGTTTTTGGGTTTTTTTTAATGTCCAGAGGACCAGATTTAACTTTTTTGGAGAGAGAGTGAATGTTTTTTTGTCTCATTTGTCTCTATGTGGCCTTGTGATGGACTTGCGACCCGTCCAGGGTGTACCCCGCCCCTCGCACAGTGATTGCTGGACATGGGCACCAGCGACCCCCGTGACCCAAAATGGAACAAGCTGGTAAAGATAATGGATGGATGGATGTCCAGAAGCTCCTGTCTGCTGTAAAATAGGAACACCAAGCAATTCTGGATGAATTGTCTGGTCAAAAGTAGATAGAAAAACACCAAATAGCAAGATCTGGAGAGACGCTGAGGCTCATGTTGTTCACACGCCGCCATCTTGAATGTAAATAAAACATTTATTCTATTTACTTTTCATTTTATATGGTTTTATGACTGTCGTTGTTAGTACCTCATCTATAATATTTGTGTAAAACAGGTCTCTCTTGTAAATGAGTCCTTGGGGCTCAATGGGACTAACCTGTATAAATAAATGTTGAGTGAACACACACACATACACACACACACACACACACACACACACACACACACACACACACA